TGATTATGTGACTGTAGTTTAACATGGTTCAGTGTGGTCCTCATTTTGAGTTAACACTCCAGAAGTTTCTGTCACCTATGTATTACTGTATTTATTGGCATTATGTTAGAATTCGCTAAATTTTGCTTATCGACGACTATTTAGGTTGGTAGACAGCAACCACCCAGGGAAGTACTACCGTCCTGCCAGATGACTGTGAAACAGAAACCTGTAACTGTTTTGCATGATGGTAGGATTGCAGGTTCTTTTTCTGTCCATAAACACGCTAGATAACGGTATATCTTGCCTAAACCTAACTGACACTTTGGTCACACTTCACAGACACGCACATGCATATATATATACATACATCTAGGTTTTTCTCCTTTTTTCAAAGATAGCTCTTGTTCTTCTTTTTTTCTTCTATTGTCCATGGGGAAGTGGAGAAGAATCTTTCCTCCGTTAGCCATGCGGTGTATGAGCGACTAAATGCCGGGAGCATTGGCTAGTAACCCCTTCTCCTGTAGACATGTACTAAAAAAGAGAAGAAGAAAAAACTTTAAAAACTGGGATGCTTGAATGTGGCGTGATTTAGTGCGGATGACAGAAAACAATGATTGCTGATGTTATGAATGACAAGAAGTTGGATGTCCAGGCCCTAACGAAACAAAGCTGAAGGGTGGTTATCTGGAGGTTATCTGAGGGTATTCCGGGATCAACGCCCCCCGCGGGGGCCCGGTCCGTGTTTGGGGATTTTCGGTGGGGGATAATAAATGGGATATAAATCTGGAGTAATCTGAGAGAGTTACAGCAAAGGAAGGGGTAAGCAGTAATGTTGAAGGATCCATTTATGGAAGTAGAATAGAGAATATGAACTGTGTAAATCAAGAATTATTGGATTAAAGTAAAGGTTGGATGCGAAAGTGGGTTCCATAATAGCGTGTTATGCACCTGAGAAGAGAGGAATGCAGAGGAGAGAGAGAGATTTTGAGATGTTAATCAATGTATAGGAGCCTTTGAACCAAGTGAGAGGTAATTGGTGGTAGGGGACCTGAATGCTAAAGTAGGGAGAAACTTTAGAGAGGGTGTGTAGGTAAGTTTGGGTGCCAGGTATGAAAGATAATGGAGCCTCTGATTTGTATGAACTTTGAATGAGAAAGGGTTTAGTTATAGGTAATACATTTTTAATAAAAGAAGGATAAAAAGAAGAATACAAGATATGATGTAGTGAGAAAATAACAGAAGTTAGTTTGGATTATGTAATGTGGTAGATAAAAGAGTCTGTTGAGTAACAAGACTTCAGGATGTACATGTTTTTAGAGGGCCACATTATATATCAGATCACTATTTTAGTTGTAGCACACACTGAGAGTAAAAGGAGACGGGATACAAGCGAATAGAAAGCTCAGGGAAGAGGAGAGGTGAAGGTTTATAAAACTAAACGAGGAGGCAGTTAGGGTAAATAAAAACAGCAATTGAGGAAATATGAGCTAAGAGAGCATAGGCATGGGGTCGAAAGAGTATGGGGTAGGATTTTATAAAATGTAAGTTTTAGAGTGTTCATCAGAAGTTTGTGATACAGGAAAGTGGGTGTCGTGATGTAAGAGGAGCGATTGGTTGAATGATGGAGTAAGAGAGTAGTAAGGAGAAAAAGATAGCATAAATAAGTATTTTAACAAAGTTAAAGTGCATGCAAGATAGGAAAGACGTATATGGATAAAAAGAGAGAGTTAAGATAGTGGTGTAAGCAATGTAAAAAGAGTCAAAATGAGAGAGTGGGTGAATGATATCAACAAATTTTTTTGAAAATAAGAAAAAGTTAAGAACCTAGAAAACAAATGGATTTGTCCAGTTAAAAATAGGAGAGGGAGAAGTTAATTAAATGGAGAAGTTAAGAGGTATTGAAGATGGAGGGAATATATTTGAGAATTGTTAAAATGTTGATTAAGATAGGGAAGCTGTGATATCTGTATAGGCAAGGAGGAATAACTTCTGTAGGAGTGAGAAGAGCCAGTTGTGGTGTGGGGGAAGTTCGTGAGGCAGTCTAGGTAAATGAAAGGGGGTAGCACCGGATTGATGGGATAAAGATAGAAATGTTTTAAAAGCAGTGGGGATAAATCGTTTGGATTGTTGGTGCTATTATTTAATAAATGGTGAGGAAGAGGGTAAGGTACCTAGTAATTGGCAAGAGAGCCAATGCATAGTTCCCTTTGTATAAAGGAAAAGGGACAAAAGAGAGTGCAAGAAATTATAGGGGATAAAAGTCTGTTGAGTATACCTGGTAAAGCGTATGGTGTAGATTTTCAAATTGAAAGAATTAAGAGTAAGACGGAGATAGGATAGCAGATGAACAAGGATGCTTAGGAAAGGTAGGTGGTGTGTGGAGCAGGTGTTTAACAGTGAAACATATAAGTGCACAGTATTTAAGATAAGGCTAAAGAGGTTCTTTGTGGCATTCATCGGATTTTGTAAAAGGCTATGACAGGGTGGATAGGGGGGGGGGCCAATGGTGGCAGATGTTTGCAGTGTATGGTGTAAGGAGGCAGTACTGAAAGCAGTGAAGAGTATTTACGATGACTGTGATGCTCAAGTTAGAGTATGTAGGCAAGAGGGAAATTATTTCCAGTAAAAGTAGGCCTTAGACAAGATGTGTGATTTCACCGATGTTTGTTTAATATATTTAAAATGGTGTTGTATGAGAAGTAAATTGCGAGGGTCCTTGGCAAGAGGCGTGAGTTAAAAGATAAAGAATCACACATAAAAGTGGCCAATTGTCACAGTTTGCCTCTTTCTGATGACACTGTGCTCTTGGGAGATATCTGAAGAGAAGTTGCAGAGATTGGGGATGAATATGTAGGGTGGTGCAAAAGAAGAAATTAAAAGTGAATACAGGAAAGAGTAAGGTTATGAGGATAAACAAAAAGATTAAGGTGATGAAAGATTGTATATCATATTGGAGGGATAAGATTAATGGAGGAGGTGAAATGTAATTCAGATATTTGGGGAGTGGACGGTCAGCGGATGGGTCTATGAAAGATGAGGTGAATCATAGAATTGATGAGGGAAAAGGGTGAGGGTGCACTTAGGAGTCCTGTGGAGACAAAAGAACTTTGTCCTTGGAGGTAAAGAGGGAAATGTATGAGAGTAAAGTTTTACCAACGCCTCTTACATGGTGGAAGCGTGGTGATGAAAGTTGCAAGCGAGAGAAGGCTGGAGCAGTGGAGATGTCATGTCTGATGGCACTGTGTGGTGTGAATATAATCAGAGATTCGTAGTTTGGAAGTTAGGAGGAGGTGCGGTATTACCAAAACTTTTGTCACAGAGGGCTTAGGAAGGTTATTGAGGTGGTTCGGTACATGTAAGAGAGAATGAGCGAAACAGAATTACTTCAAGAGTTATCAGTCTGTATGGAAGGGAAAAGCGGGTAGGGTCGGCCTAGAAAGGTTGGAGGAGGATGTTAAAGGAGGTTTTTGTGTGCGAGTGCTGGACTTCCACAGCATTGCGAGCGTGTTTGATAGGAGTGAAGGATACAAATGGTTTTCTAATACATGACGTGCTGTTGAGTGTGAAAAGTAACATTTCTGAAGGGGTACAGGAAACGCCGGCAAGCCGGACTTGGTCCTGGAGATGGAAGTACGTGCCTGCACTCTGAATGAGGGTTTTAACGTTGCCAGTTTAAAAACTGTATTGTAAAGCACCTTCTGCAAGACAGTGGATTGGAGTGGAAATGATGGTGAAAGTTTTTCTTTTTCGGGCCACCCTGCCTTGGTGGGAATCGGCCAGTGTGATAATAAAAAAAATAAACTTGTCCCAACCAAAACAAAATACTTTCCAAGACAACTGTACTCTTTAGACTAGAATATTACTGCACTCCAACAGCGCCATTTAAGGCAGGTGACAACGCAGATCTGAAGAATGTACAGGGAAAGAGGCTCACCAGACGGTGCAAAAAAATCCCCTATGAAAAACAGAGGTACAAGTTCAATAGAAGAAAACTCATTAAATATAAAAGGCCAAAGACTTTCGTCACCCTCTCGTCCAATATAAGGAAAATTACCAAAAGACTCGTAGATGTCTTAAGGAGGGAATTCGTCGAGACTGTTATTAGTAGCAGCAACAGGTCGATGAATCAGGGCATCAACCAACTGACCCGGTCTCTCATCGAGCTGCGATGATCCTCGGAATCAACAAAACGTAGACAAGAAGTAGGTAGAGCATCACTTACTGATTACACACTTGATTATATCCTCTTAGAGACTCAGGTAACTCGTCTCTCTTTCCTCGTGTAGTTACTTCTTGTTGAAGTAACAACATTTTACAAAATTATACTGATGAACTGAATGTAATGTTGTATTTCTGTATGTCTGCTGCCTAGGAACTATTTTTTTTTATAACATCCCAGCTATGTTAATATTAGTGTCTGTTCTGTGCTGGTGTTAGTGTTTGTCATGTGTTGATATGTTAGTGTTTGTGCTGTGTTGATGATATGTTAGTGTTTGTCCTGTGTGCTGTTGCTCTGTAACTGACAAGTGTCAAGACTGCACCATAATACAGTATTATTTACAAAATAATAACAGCTGTGGCATGAAGACACACGTGCACCACCTAGGACTGACAAAGCCGTTAGTGGGAGAAACGTTTCCCTAATTAAGTGGCCTAAGTATTGCAATGAACATGTTTACTTCACAAACTCTTGTTGTAGATATACCTAGTACAATAATAGCTGCTAAATAATAATAATAATAATAATCATAATAATAATAATAATATCTTTATTTCTACAAGTATATGTACAAGGTCGCAGTCCTAGCTGACATCACTGACATACTACTATATAGAAAGCCGCTTGTTATGCAGAGCATTTAGGGTAAATTAAGTCAATTTTGTCCCAGGATGCGACCCACACCAGTCGACTAACACCCAGGTACCCATTTTACTGATGGGTGAACAGGGACAACCGGTGTAAGGAAACACGCTCAATGTTTCTACCCCTTTGCCTGGAATCGAACGCGAGCCCTCACCGTGTGAAGCGAGAGCTTCGTCGCCAGGCCACGTGTACTGGCAAATTTGTACCTACACAGAATAAATTTGTAAGTTTACGACCTCCTCATAAGTCATAAACCCTTAACGAATTATACTGTTAAATTAATCTAATATATTTCTTAAGCACTGGAGGTCCTGGCAATATACAAAGGAGCGGTTAACAACTTAGAGAGAAGTTATTAGTAAGTTATTAGTTATTAGTACGATTCACAAACACTCGTACAATACACTGAGTGTAAACAAAATATACTTTTTTCTAAATGCTTCATTCGTAAGTGAGAACTTTATCTTGGATGATGAGGCTTCACCTTCGTGAGTCACACCACGAACAGTGAGACTTGACTTAAACTCACCATATCAAAGTCTGAGATGATCTCGTTGAGAACAGAGAGACACGTCGTGCCGTCATTAATGTTGACATTCTCGCGGTAAAACTCAGCGTAGCTGGGGATGGATGCGAAGATGACACTCACTTGCTGGTAAGACTCATGGTACAGTTCGCCTAAGTTTGACTGGCGATTCAGAAAAACGTCGGCTGCAAAAGAACATTATTATTATTATTATTATTATTATTATTATTATTATTATTATTATTATTATTTATTATTATTATTATTATTATTATTATTATTTTCTTATCATTTTTATTAACACATCGGCCGTCTCCCACCAAGGAGGGTGGCCCGAAAAAGAAAAACTTTCATCATCATTCACTCCATCATTGTCTTCCCACAAGCGCACTTACACTACAGTTATAAAGCTGCAGCAATAGCACTCCTCCATCAGAGTGCAGGCACTGTACTTACCCATCTCCAGGAATCAAGTCCGGCCCGTAGGTTTCCCTTAGTCCCTTCAGAAATGTTACCTTTCTCACACTCCAACAGCACGTCAAGTCCAAAAAGCCATTTGTCTCCATTCGCTCCCCTATAACACGCTCACGCATGCTTGCCGGAAGTCCAAGCCACTCGAACACTAAACCTTTACTCCCATCCTCCAACCTTTCCTAGGCCGACCCCTATCCTGCCTTCCCTCCACTACAGATTTATACACTCTTGAAGTCATCCTTTCTCGTTCCACCCTCTCTACATGTCCAAACCATCTCAACAATCCCTCTTCAGCCCTCTAGATAATAGTTTTGGTAATCTCACACCTCCTCCTAATTTCCAAACTACGAATTCTCTGCATTATATTCACACCACACATTGCCCTCAGACATAACATCTCCACTGCCTTCTCCTCGCTGCAACATTCACCACCCATGTTACACATCCATATAAGAGCGTTGGTATAATTATACTCTCAAACATTTCCCTCTTTGATTCCATGGACAAAGTTCTTTGTCTCCAGAGACTCCTCAGTGCACCACTCACCTCTTTCCCTTCATCAATTCTATGATTCACCTCATCTTTCATAGACCCATCTGCTGACACGTCCACTCCTAAATATCTGAATACATTTACCTCTTACCATACTCTCTCCCTCCAATCTGATATTCAATCTTTCGCCACCTAATTTTTTTTTTGTCACCTTACTCTTTCCTATATTCACTTTTAATTTTCTTCTTTTAGATACGCTACCAAACTCATCAACCAACCTCTGCAACTTCTCTTCAGAATCTTACAAAAGCACAGTGTCATCAGCAAAGAACAACTGTGATAACTCCCATTTTCTGTTAGATTCTTAATCTTTTAACCCCTCACTTCTTGCCAACACCCGAGCATTCACTTCTCTTACAACCCCATCTATAAATATATTGAACAACGATGGTGACATCAAACATCCCTGTCTAAGACCTACTTTTAATAGGAAATAATCTCCCCCTCTTCTACATACTCTAACCTGATCCTCACTATCCTCGTAAAAATTCCTCACGGCTTTCAGTAACCTACCCGCTATTCTATACATTTGCAACATCCGCTACATTGCTCCCCTATCCACCCTGTCATACGTTTTTTTTTTTCAAAATCCATAAATGCCACAAAATTCTCTTTACCCTTATCTAAATACTGTTCACATATATGTTTCACTGTAAAAACCTGGTCCATACACCCCCTACTTTTCCTAAAGCCTCCTTGTTCCTCTGCTATCCTACTCTCCGTCTTACCCTTAATTCTTTCAATAATGACTACCATACACTTTACCAGGTATACTCAACAGACTTATTCCCCTATAATTTTTACTTTCTCTTTTGTCCCCTTTTGCCTATATACAAAGGAACTATGCATGCTCTGTGACATTATTATTATTATAAGTGTTATTATTATTGTTGAATATATTCATGTAGAAATGTTAAATCCACAGAGGACATACAGCGCCATGGAAATGATAGTCAGTCAGATTTGATACGAGGAACTGAAGGGTTGTAGTCTAGAGGGTAGTTTGGTGGCAACAGGGCAGGAAAGTTACTTACCAACATGGTTGAGAAGTTACTTTCCAACATGGTGAAGTTACTTACCAATATGGTGGAAAAATTACTTACCAACATGGTATGGTAACAGGTTTTCCAGCAGCAATTTGTTAGCAGTATATGTGGTGTGAGCTTCGTCCTGTTCCTTCTGTAGTTGTTGTTTCCACTGGAAGTCCAGCCTGGCGATGTACTCCATCTGAGGTAACAAAAAATGAGCCTTAAAGGGCTCGACATTCAAGGAACTGGGGATACTGTCCTCTTCTTCTGGAAGAGACCCCATTACCAGCCATTACCCAGGCACTGTATGACTCCTACATAGATATGACTCCCACATGGTTATGACTCCCACATGGTTATGACTCCCACATGGTTATGATTCCAACATGGTTATGACTCCCACATTGTTATGACTCCCATGACTCACGAAATCGTAATGAAACGATTGCAAACAAACCATACCCCGGCCGGGGAATGGTTTGTTTGCAATCGTGTCATTACGATTTCGTGAATCATGTTGACTGCAGTGAAGGGACTTGAGCTAGAGTTCGTCACGGCCACGCTAGCTGGAGATTCGTCTGTAAAAACTTGCATTTGTGGTCACAGTGGTGCCTATCCTAACCTTCCTATGGTGTAGAAATATACCTAGTTGGACGAATCTTATTGTGGCTAGCTGGTCTAGTGGCTAACGCGACGGGCTGGAGTTTTGAGACTCTCTGACCGCGGGTTCAATCACGGCCGGGGTATGGTTTATGACACCCACATGGTTATGACTCCCACATGGTTATGACTCCCACATAGTTATGACTCCCACATGGTTATGACTCCCACATGGTTATGACTCCCACATGGTTATGACTCCACATGGTTATGACTCCCACATGGTTATGACTCCCACATGGTTATGACTCCCACATGGTTATGACTCCCACATGGTTATGACTCCCACATGGTTATGACTCCCACATGGTTATGACTCCCACATAGTTATGGCTCCCACATGGTTATGACTCCCACATGGTTATGACTCCCACATGGTTATGACTCCCACATGGTTATGACTCCTACATGCTTATGAATCCCAAATGGTTATGACTCCCACAAGGTTATGACTCCCACATGGTTATGACTCCCACATGGTTATGATTCCCACATGGTTATGACTCCCACATAGTTATGACTAACACATGCTTATGACTCCCACATGGTTATGACTCTCACATGGTTATGACTCCCACATGGTTATGACTCCAACATGGTTATGACTCCCACAGGTTATGACTCCCACACGGATATGTCTCCCACATGGTTACGTCTCCCACATGGTTATGACTCCCACATGGTTATGACTCCCACATGGTTATGACTCCCACATGATTATGACTCCCACATAGTTATGACTAACACATGGTTATGACTCCCACATGGTTATGACTCCCACATGGTTATGACTCCAACATGGTTATGACTCCCACATGGATATGTCTCCCACATGGTTATGTCTCCCACATGGTTATGACTCCCACATGGTTATGACTCCCACATGGATATGTCTTCCACATGGTTATGTCTCCCACATGGTTATGACTCCCACATGGTTATGACTCCCACAAGGTTATGACTCCCTCATGGATATGTCTCCCACATGGTTATGTCTCCCACATAGTTATGACTCCCACATAGTTATGACTAACACATGGTTATGACTCCCACATGGTTATGACTCCCACATGGTTATGACTCCCACATGGTTATGACTCCCACATGGTTATGACTCCCACATAGTTATGACTCCCACATGGTTATGACTCCCACATGGTTATGACTCCCACATGGTTATGACTCCCACATGGTTATGACTCCCACATGGTTATGATTCCCACATGGTTATGACTCCCACATGGTTATGACTCCCACATAGTTATGACTAACACATGGTTATGACTCCCACATGATTATGACTCCCACATGGTTATGACTCCCACATGGTTATGACTCCCTCATGGATATGTCTCCCAAATGGTTATGTCTCCCACATGGCTATGGCTCCCACATGGTTATGACTCCCACATGGTTATGTCTCCCACATAGTTATGACTTACACATGGTTATGACTCCCACATGGTTATGACTCCCACATGGTTATGACTCCCACATGGTTATGACTCCCACATGGTTATGACTACCACATGGTTATGACTCCCACATGGTTATGACTCCCACATGGTTATGACTCCCACATGGTTATGATTCCCACATGGTTATGACTCCCACATGGTTATGAATTCCACATAGTTATGACTCCCACATGGTTATGACTCCCACATGGTTATGACTCCCTCATGGATATGTCTCCCAAATGGTTATGTCTCCCACATGGCTATGGCTCCCACATGGTTATGACTCCCACATGGATATGTCTCCCACATGGCTATGGCTCCCACATGGTTATGACTCCCCACATAGTTATGACTCCCACATGGTTATGACTCCCACATGGTTATGACTCCCACATGGTAATGACTCCCACATGGATATGTCTCCCACATGGTTATGTCTCCCACATAGTTATGACTCCCACATAGTTATGACTCCCACATAGTTATGACTCCCACATGGTTATGTCTCCCACATGGCTATGGCTCCCACATGGCTATATCTCCCACATGGTTATGACTCCCACATAGTTATGACTCCCACATGGTTATGACTCCCACATGGTCATGACTCCCACATGGTTAAGACTCCCACATAGATATGTCTCCCACATGGTTATGTCTCCCATATAGTTATGACTCCCACATGGTTATGGCTCCCACATGGTTATGACTCCCTCATGGATATGTCTACCAAATGGTTATGTCTCCCACATGGCTATGGCTCCCACATGGTTATGACTCCCACATGGTTATGACTCCCACATGGTTATGACTCCCTCATGGATATGTCTCCCAAATGGTTATGTCTCCCACATGGCTATGGCTCCCACATGGTCATGACTCCCCATCGTCAGGCAGCGGCATCGTCAGGCAGCGGCAGCAGCGACTTCCAAGCTCCGTACTTTTCTCCAACTACCAGAGCTACCAATGCTCCTATGATGACCTAGTTACAAGCAAAACTGCACTACCCAACGTAGCACCCAGAATGACCAAAGATTACCAACAGTGAAACCTACAAATCGAAAAAATAGAGATCAAAGGAAGACTGCAAATCTAACCGTACAGCAACACCCCGCTGCAGCCGAACAATTAACCTCTAAGCTTTGGTTTTCTTCAACTTCTTCTTAAATACAACATTCTGTAGTTTTATGAGGAAGCAATCTAAGAGGATACGCACCAAGGCCAGCAAGAAAACACCGAAAAATCAACTATTCAAACAAGTGTAGCTCAGGAGGAGGACGCCGGCCAGCAACCACCCCACTCACCACATCAAGGCCACACAACAACAATAACAACAAAACATGCTGACACAGCCCATCTCCCCTCTCTTCCCCGGAATTCAACTACAAGTAGTTCTATCAGGTATGACCAACGATCCAGATACCCTTAAAAGTCATGCATCTCAACTTAGGTTATTGAAATTATGGAATCTTAGAGAGACTCTAACAAAACAAGACACCCAGGATGACACAACTCGAAAACTCTAAAATCCTCAGTCTGAACAAAAGTTTTCAACACCAGGAAACGAATAACTGTGGCAAGACCATCAGTCAGTCATAGATAGCCTTACCCAACAAAAAATAATATCTCTTGAATACATAAGGTTGAAGAAGCAGTAAAAGCTAATGGAAGAGCAACTTAGATATACCAGTTCAGTGACTCTTTGCTCTCCAAGAAGATTTAAAACTGACAAGATAAACTTATCGGAACGAGTAATAGTTAACAGTCCCACTTTTTTCCCAGTGATATGAACCAAACAAACAGTAAGAAATACTCTCTGCGATCATATAAGGACCAAACAAGTGTTATTGTTACCCGAGTCAGAAATAAGAAGCTGGTACTTGGATCCATGGTAGAAAATAGTGTGATGCTTAGATTCCACTCACATGACAGGAAAAAAGGACTTTATTATGGCATCTATTAAAGTAAAGAAAGAGGTATATATAACGAGTGTCTTACCAAAAAACGTCAATAAAACCTCCTGTATAGAGTCAGAAAACTTAAGCGAGAGAATAATGACACAATCACAATGCTTCACACGGGATGGTAAATTCTAGTTAGGGATACAAATGTAGGTCACTGTACCACAATCACGATGAGAATGATCTATCACGATTTCTCAGGGATACCAATCTTTCAGAGTATATACTAAACTATCGTCAGCAACTAAAAAGCCTACGATTGTGTTGTGTTACGTTTTGCTCCTTTATTGTTCAATTTCATTGTTCAATCTCTTAGTAATTAAAATAATCAACTTACTCATTTTTAGATTTTACGAGTAAGCATAGGTCATCCTTATGTGATTTTGTTTATTTTACTATTGTTCGCCTTCAACATTAGCTGTATTGAATAACTTTCTCAGTTCATATTATACCTTCATTTTTTTTTTTAAATACTATCAATTGATATTACTTACTAAATTTAATAAATTATCACATTTTTTACTAAAATTTCAATTTACTCTTAACAAATTTTGACATTTAATATACCATTACTTGTCTATTACCTTTACTGTTTTAATACCACTTTACTATCCTAGATTACTCTTAATTATCACTTTGTACTGCCTTAGATAACTCAAAGTATAACTACAGTGCAGATATTGAATGAAATAAACATTACTTTTTCATTTTTTGTAATCATTATTATTATTATTTTATTAAACACCATATTTTAACTACAGGCAATCAATTTTAATTTTTTCTATTAAACATTGTTTATACTTCTCATAATTTTGTGCAAAATTTTCAAGTTTTTATTTTCAACCCCAACTTTATTTTATCCTTGTACCTGTGTACTGTCTACCCTCTTACTATTCAATATTATAATCAAGACATGACCATTGTTATTTTTTTACTATTTTTCTTTTGGGTACTTAAATTAGTGAATTTTATTTGTCAATTTAAATCTAGGTATAATCTTGATCTTGTCAAAACCCTATACCAGATCTTAGTGCATTGCACTGATGTTACCATTTCAAAATGGTATTTTTATTATTATAAGTTTATATTATAATTCCTACCTTCTGCCCATTTAACTT